TTTTTTTTTTTTTTTTTGCTACTGGGGATTGAACTCGGGTCCTTGCGCTTGCAAGGCAGGACACCGAACCGCTGAGCTAAATCCCCGGCCCTAAACTTTAATGATTTTTGATGGAAAATTATTTTAAAATGTAGTCTTCCTTTCTGACTTCTGAAATGGCATAGCTGAAACAATAATCTTTTGTTATGGATTCCATTTTAAACCTGGCTTATAACAGGTAGTTGATAATTTTTCTTAATAATAGAAGAGGGAGGGCCAGGGATTTAGTTCAGTGGTTCTGCCACTTGTCTCCCAAGCTCAAGGTCCCGAGTTTGATCCCCGGTACCAAAACAAACAACGAAACAAACAAAGAAAAAAACACCCAAAATATAAGTGGGAGGTAGAAATACATTAAGCTAAATACTGGAAAATCACAAGGGACTGAAAGCTACATGAAAGTGACTAAGGCACTAAGCCTCTACCTGCAGTTTATTTGCATTAAGTGAAAATCAAAGGTTGGGAACAGAGAGAACTACCGTTTGCATGAACTCTTTGTACAATAACCTCTCTTGAGCATTAATTAGAAGACAGCTCACTGATGTGATTAAAAGATGCCAGGAAATAGCCATCCTAAAATATAACCAACATAAAATAACCACATGCGGAAACTCCATTTCGAAGTTAGGTAGTAATAACAGATGCTTTTAAGTAAGGGACAGAAAAACATGAAAGGGGATTAGAAAAATGAGAAATTGTTATTACATGACAGTCTTTGTTATTAGGTTGCACATCTCTGGATTCAGATTTAGCCTTGCAGATAGTAAGCAATGGGAAAAAAGTTACGTTTGTAGAATCACTGGCTTCCAGGCACTGACTGCAGGGAAAAAAAATTCTTTAATCCTGGTGAGGGCTTTAAAAACAAAACTCAACAACTGACGAAAAATACAGAAATAGCACTAAAAAGACTGACTGGTAATTCATCAGGAAACCAAAACTTGACAGAAATATCCCTTAAATAACATTCAATCTCATTCCCTTTGTTCTAATCCTGTCTCCACCCAGTAGCCTTCAGATCTGTAATTTGGTTTTCTAAGTGAACACACCCACCAAGGACGGCCCAAGCAGGCTAACAGGGATGGCTGTCAGGTTGGGTTTCTTTCCCAATGTAGAAACTTGCTTTTACATTATTAAAAATACCGTGTAGCTGGCCAGGGTGGGGCACACTTCTAGTCTTAACTACTCAGGAGGCTGAGGTAGGACTGCTTGAGCCCAGGAGTTCAAGGCCAGCCTGGGCAATATAGCAAGACCCTGTCTCATCAAAATTATAAAATAAAATAAAATGGAAAGAAAGAAATACTAAATATGCTGTGAATTAGTTTAGTTTAAATCACCTTCCAGAGCATACTAAGTATCTATTCGGTCACAGGTGCTGGCTGAGATGGACCCCAAAGATGTACAAATTAATCAGCCAAAACCCCTGGGTTTCTTCTCACTTTAACCTATGTCTTCTAAATCCTCATAAAATTGTTGAATCACCTGAAAGATCTATCTTTTATAATTCCTGAGATGAGAAGGACATGTGACATCTTTTAAAAGTTCTACCCATTCTTCTATTTTCTTGTATTTCATCAGCAGATGTTAATCAACTTTATACTATCTCTTGTGATCAAAGGCATTTTAGTGTTAGTACTAGTAAATTATATCAATCCATTCTTAAAGCTCCTAAATCACATATTTTGAAGAAAAGAATTTAAATTTCAGTAAGAAGGCAGAGGGAGCCTAAAACGGCAGCTAGCAATTAATTTTACAAAATCTCCTCTCCCAGCTGGTCAATGTACTTGAAAGACAAAATAGCATGCAATTATTTTTAAAGAGTTTTATGTTAATTTTATTTCCAATCCCCAGTTAAAACAAAGCAAAACAAAACAAAACAAAATGCATCCTTAAGCACTATCATGGACCTGATGTGCTTTGAAAGGTCAGAAAATGAGGTAACATAATGGTATTTCAGAAAGTGTCCCTCTCATCACTGACATTAACCAGGAGCTCAAATTTGCGATAGAAGGCAAATGTTTCCTATTGGAAGCTTTGCCATAAACATGAGAATTTAATAATGAACGAAACTCAGAAAATACAGACCTAGACTGAAAGCAGTTTTAACAAATGGAAACTAAAGTCACAATCATTATGCATGATGGCAGCCCTTTATTTTCTCATCAAAACTGTCAGAATTCTGGAAGCCCTTTCTGGCTCATTTCCCACTTCTAACTATACTCTGGCACGGGCTGGAAAAGGCATTTGGAAGATTCGTCTGTTCTATCATTTTATTTTCAACCAGCTGATAAAGCAAATATGAAGGATCACTCAGCCTATATTATCCAGGGCAGTCTCAATGTTTCTGCCAGCATAAGTCTCAAATTTTGGGGTTCAGAAAATATGGTCGGAATGGGTAGACATTAACAAGCAGCAAGAAAAAGAAATACCGCTTAACCACTAGACAACGTGCTGGCAGAAAGGGCTAACCTTTAATAAAAAGACCCAGCATCCTTTAAGAAAAAAGATGAAAAAATATGCTATCATTACTAAGAGATCCTAATATGGCCCAGACAGGGCCATCTTTCATATTGGTTATTGAATTCATCAGAAAAGAACCAAGTGTTTGCTACAAGGAATTTTCTGTCTCTGTCTTTCTCAGATGACACATGTATACTCACATCTGCATTTTGTTTTAAAGGAAATCTCATTTTCTCTTACAAAATATTATTATAAATGCCAGTTACCTCTCCCTAACACCCTCCCTCAAGTAACCTCAGAGTAAATAAACTTATTATACAGCCATGTTCCTGCAGAAGTTTGAATCACACCAAGAATGCATATCCTTAAAAGGAAATGTTTTCCCTCCCCTTGCATCCTGTTATTTAAGCTATTTTAAGGACTTGTCTGGAGAAAGCTGAGCCAGAATTCAAGTGGTTTTGATTTTAGCTGCTGTTTTACATTGCTCTTATCCAGGTGGTGTGTACTGCAATCTATCACTTCAAACACATCTTTTTGGGTGAAACTTTGTCTTATAAATCTGGCAGTAAGAAAGACTAGGACTTCCTTTAACCCTCAGGTTGTGTGTGTGTACAGGCACGTGCACGCACGCACTGCTTTAACCATTCTTGTATCTATCTAAATCTGAAGTTGTTATAAAGAAGTTGCATATTGCGTTCCCTCATCTGTGACACACATGTGGCCCCTTTATTAACTTAACTCTGGACAGTGCTCATTTAAGACTTAAAGAAGAAAACCAATCCAGTGCAGATGTACATACTTTCAGAAAAGCTGGATTTAAAAGTTAAGATTATATATTTCACAAGTGTTTTAGCATCAGAAAAGCGACAATAGGAATCTAAATATCTGATAATGGAATGGTACACACATGGTCCTGAATGCTAATGAAAGTTCACAAAATACTGATTTAAAAGACTCAGGGCAAAAGACTTCTGCAGAAGAATTTATATTCCATCCTAAGATCTAAACAGTGAAGTAAAGCTTTCATGAGGCATTAAAACTGGAAAAGGCAGTGCTAATCATCTCCAGATGCTTAGCTAAATCAGGGGGTGGCCTTTCACAGCTTCTACCTTTTGAGGTAGTGGAGTGCAGCAAATATGAGAGGCAGTTTAATGAGTCCCAGCCAAAGGTAGGCTAGAGCTTGCTACATTAAGAGTTTAATCATTGATTGCCAAAGATGGAGTCAAGTACAGCTAAAGACTGCATCAGCTTAGAAGGATAACACTGGGCAATAAAAAATGTTGCCTATCAATTCTTTCTGCAAATATTTCCAGCAGCTCAGACATCATTTTTCACTTGCTGCTACTTTTAAAATGACCTACATGCTTATATGAATGTGTTCACACACACGTGTTTGCTCTTGCTGTCTCCCACACATATGTACTCCTATCCTCCACACTGTCAATGCATGGTTTTCACACTGTCCCAATATTCTAATTTTTTTAAGTACTGGGGATCAAGCACAGGGCTTTATATATGCTGGGCAAGCACTCTATGATTGAGCTACATCCCTAACCCTTTTTATTTTGAGACAGGGGTTCACTAAGTTGTCCAAGCAAGCCTCAAACTTGCAATCCTCCTGCCTCAGCCTCCCAAATAATGGATTTATAGGCACACATCACCATACTTGGCTCCAATAATCCACTTCTAATATTCCTGAGATAATTAACCCAATAGCACATTGAAAGACCACTATTTATTTTATATTTGTAGTTGGGCTGTAGCTTTTATTTTTGAGGAATATTTAAACAAATGTGCACTGGTGTAGTTTTGTTCAATACAAAAAATAAATCTAACTAAA